CTTACCACTCGTTATACAGAGTTTCCCCTTACCACTCGTTATACGGAGTGTTTCCTTACTACTCGTTATACGGAGTGTCTCCTTACCACTCGTTATACGGAGTGTCTCCTTACCACTCGTTATACAGAGTTTCCTCTTACCACTCGTTATACGGAGTGTCTCCTTACCACTCGTTATACGGAGTGTCTCCTTACCACTCGTTATACGGAGTGTCTCCTTAACACTCGTTATACGTAGTGTCTCCTTACCACTCGTTATACTTACCACTCGTTATACGTCGTTATACGTCTCCTTACCACTCGTTATACAGAATGTCTCCTTAACACTCGTTATACGGAGTGTCTCCTTACCACTCGTTATACGGAGTGTCTCCTTACCACTCGTTATACGGAGTGTCTCCTTACCACTCGTTATACGGAGTGTCTCCTTACCACTCGTTATACGGAATGTCTCCTTACCACTCGTTATACGAGTTTCCTTTACCACTCGTTATACGGAGTCTCCTTACCTCGTTATACAGAGTTTCGTTATACGGAGTGTCTCCTTACCACTCGTTATACAGAATGTCTCCTTACCACTCGTTATACGGAGTGTCTCCTTACCACTCGTTATACAGAGTTTCCTCTTACCACTCGTTATACGGAGTGTCTCCTTACCACTCGTTATACAGAGTTTCCTCTTAACACTCGTTATACGGAGTGTCTCCTTACCACTCGTTATACAGAATGTCTCCTTAACACTCGTTATACGGAGTGTCTCCTTACCACTCGTTATACGGAGTGTCTCCTTACCACTCGTTATACGGAGTGTCTCCTTACCACTCGTTATACGGAGTGTCTCCTTAACACTCGTTATACAGAATGTCTCCTTACCACTCGTTATACGGAGTGTCTCCTTACCACTCGTTATACGGAGTGTCTCCTTACCACTCGTTATACGTCGTGTCTCCTTACCACTCGTTATACGGAGTGTCTCCTTACCGCTCGTTATACGGAGTGTCTCCTTGCCGCTCGTTATACGGAGTGTCTCCTTACCACTCGTTATACGGAGTTTCCCCTTACCACTCGTTATACGTAGTGTCTCCTTACCACTCGTTATACAGAATGTCTCCTTAACACTCGTTATACGGAGTGTCTCCTTAACACTCGTTATATAGAATGTCTCCTTATCACTCGTTATACGGAGTGTCTCCTTACCACTCGTTATACGTCGTGTCTCCTTACCACTCGTTATACGTCGTGTCTCCTTACCACTCGTTATACGGAGTGTCACCTTACCGCTCGTTATACGGAGTGTCTCCTTAACACTCGTTATACGTAGTGTCTCCTTACCACTCGTTATACGTCGTGTCTCCTTACCACTCGTTATACGTCGTGTCTCCTTACCACTCGTTATACGGAGTGTCACCTTACCGCTCGTTATACGGAGTGTCTCCTTAACACTCGTTATACGTAGTGTCTCCTTACCACTCGTTATACGTCGTGTCTCCTTACCACTCGTTATACGGAGTGTCTCCTTACCGCTCGTTATACGTAGTGTCTCCTTACCACTCGTTATACGTCGTGTCTCCTTACCACTCGTTATACGGAGTGTCTCCTTACCACTCGTTATACGGAGTGTCTCCTTAACACTCGTTATACGTAGTGTCTCCTTACCACTCGTTATACGTCGTGTCTCCTTACCACTCGTTATACGGAGTGTCTCCTTACCGCTCGTTTTGCAGAGTACGTTGTTACCAGTCGTTATGCGAGTTTCTCCTTATCAGTCCTTATATAGTGTGTCTCGGTATCGAACAATATTAAATCAGAACGACCGTTTCATAAAGCATATCATTATGAAATACTGGACAACGTGTCTGTTTTTAGATCGATCGATATATTGTCTTGTGACCAAGAGTATTAACTAAGATATTTATGGAAACATCTCAAAATCTTTAAAACACAAAATATTTAAACAAACAAGCTATAAAAAGGTATTTTGCATATCCATGAAAGTAATTAACAAATTCCTTGCTTAGCATCATTGATCCTTTTCCGAACGAAAGTTATCCTGATCTTTGTCGGGCGATAATTTCGTTCGCATGTTGGAGTCTTATTCACTGTAGGAAGCAATATACACGTTGCATCTTGAAATACGTAAATTTTGCAAAACAGATGTATTTTAAAGATCGGTGTGGTAAATGGAAGAAATATCTCATTTCACGTATTTAAAACATGTAATTAAACAAACCCTCTGGTTATAAATACACAAAAAATGATTGAAACAAACTGAGAACAGAACATCGGGAGTACATGGTTAATTACATTCTTTAGCAAGTAGTAAATTAATCTTGGCGTTTACGTGAAAGGTTAAAAAGTTGATAAGTTCTCCGCAGCGAACTTGATCATCGCTTTGCTTTAAACCCAGGCGTTTTTGGTACATACAGGAAAACTCGGGCAATTTGGTTTCCGGAATATTGCTGTAAAGAGGAGAAATATTTGACAAAATTATACATTTGTGTGACATTATCAGCTTAAGAATTGCTGTTTGTCTAGAAAAAATTTCGAATTCTAAGAACTGTTTAACGTGTGGTCGTCAGTAACCACTCCGTACCAATTATCAAACTCTACCTCTGTGCATAAGACCCCGCCCGCTGCCACCATAAAACGCCAATATGCTATATCATTTTAACTACTCTCGTATGATTATAAGATTTGACTTTCCTTACTCACCGAATTCATTTTTAAATAAAATCAAAACTGCGTGAATGTTCATATAAATGTTATTTCGTTAGTTCATATTGAAACAATTGATATCGAGTCCTCTAGATATTGTTTTAAATTGTTAGTTGTATGTTCATGACCTTGTCTTAGAGTATTCTCTGCCTCTTTTTTGCCGTCCCAATATCATTGTATCCATATTAGCCCACTTGTACCAAATCTAGCATCACAATCTTTCCATCGTTCTAAATTAAACGAAAAAACACTCAAACATTTCATAAAGCAAAACTATATGTATTAACAAGAAAAACTCTCAAAACCTGAATCCTTCGGATTTTATCTTAGATTCAAAGTCAGCACCAAGAGTAATCTACTGCTTCAGAAAGTTTGTTCGTTCCATCTAATGATACTCATTACCGACGAAATGCTTATCAGAGACGGAAGCAACACTTTGTACAATTTCATTTGCAAATTACAACGTGGTTAGTATACATGGCACCACACAAAACACATCGGGGCAGCATGTTAACTTTTCCTTTGCCATTTTACAGCACACTAATGTTCAGAAGGTCGAGGGTAATCTTACAGGTTTAGGTTAAATCCGGACCGGAATAAATAACTTTTTTACCCAATAATAGCAAAGGTGGTATGAAACGAGAACCAGCTAAAGGCCTTCTAATGCTACACAAGTCAGCGGCCATTTACATATAGTCTGTTAAGAAGTCGGTTGGTGATGATCCCGCGGAGATATATACCGGTGTTCGGTATCGATTCTAGGAGTTCTAGCAGTGATACACAGGAAAACGCCCCGACCAAGTTCGGCGCAACGGGTTTCAGAAGTATATATCAGTTATATCAGTTCCGGAGAATCACGACGGTACGGTTTGGACTTTAAGTGGTACCCGCTGTAACATTCCGGAATGTTAACACTGGTACCGTTTGGATTTTTAGTTCGGCAACGGTGCGGAATGGACTTTTAGTGGTAATAAATCTGATATTCTGGCATATCAAAAGTGACACGATCAGGCCACGAAGTGGTACCAGCTATAACCATCCGGAGTACCAATGCAGCAGTAAGGTTTTAACTCTTAAAGAATCAGCGTTCTGGAATATAAATGTTGGTACGATTGGACATTTTTAGTGTCATCAATTATAACTTTCTAAAGTATAAACGCTGGTTTGGTTCATATTCCGGAACTTCAACAAAAGAACATCTTAAACTTTTAGAAACATCAGATTTAACATTGACGTGAATAGATGCTGATCAAGTTTGGACATTTCCATAAAGAAATCGCTTCAGACTTCAAGAGAAGTTTTAATTGTAACTATTTCAGCAGTTAAGTAAATTCCACTCAGGGGATATCAAAAAGCGTGCACTGTGATCTGAGAAAGCATACAGAATATAACTCATTCTATTTTCAGCTAATCTGTTAGGTATAAACATTGCTGGTGTGATACTCCTGCCGGATTTATCTATCGATCGATGATTCCAGTTATTAGATCGTTCAACTTTAGATAGTGTTCTCTGTAGTTCATCGCCTCACAAATGGGCAACACAATTACTGATTTCTATAATTCAGCTGGATGGTAATTGAGACAGACATGTGTATGTATATTATCAATCTTAGGTCTGGTACCAGCATGTCAATACTCTCAAGCATCTTATAAGACAGTTGATATTTTCTAGATCAACGGAACAGTTTAAAGATAGTTATGTATGTCTCTTTGCGTATCTTCAATCAGTGGCTGGCTGACATTGCCCTGTAATCTGTAGTATACATAATACTTATTGATACGTCAATGACAGTGAAGAAACCTTCAATGATTTTTTTTTCGTTGAAGATGGCTTGATGAATGGACTGAATCACAACTGTCTGGAATTGTTTTTTCTCTTAGGACCTTTGGAATAAGCCTCTTTTTTGCCGTGCCGTTGATGATATATGTATGGCCTTGAAGGATAAGATAAGTTATATATACTCTACTGATACAGACAATAATAAATGGAGGGAGCACTCAACGTCAAGTCCTTTGTTATAATTAGATATATGATCCTTTCAATGGGACATGCATGGAACATAAAATTATACACTTTCCTTGGTGATTCGATTTTCACGGACAGTAAAACGTTAGTGAGATGTGAGTAGGGTCCCTGGAGTATTCACGCACAGGTACGGTATCGGCGTGGAGGACGCAAATTCTTGGCAAAAACTTTGTGTGGAAAAATTACATTTTTGGTCAATATTTTTACCTTACTGATGCACAACGTTCATTTCTACATACCTCATCGACTTTGATACATGCATGAAAGAGTGGTGTAAAATGGGCATGAAAGAACAATGGGAAAAGACAAAAGCCGAAGTTCAGACAAAAGGTTTCTGGAAAGGTGTGCGGTGCGAGTTTCTAGGAACTCTGCTATACGTTGTGTTCGGATGTGGGGCTGCCGTTCTACGAAATCACCCGATAGAAGCCGATTACTACTACTCATACGAAACAAAGACAGCTGTTTCTTTCGGACTGTCCGAATCTGTTCTTGTCCAGTCCTTTGGCCATGGAAGTGGCGGCCATTTTAACCCATCAATCACTATTGCCATGTTGTGCGCGCGCTACATTACGATAGTCAAGGCCTTGACCTATTTACTGGTACAGATGGTCGGAGCCTTGGCAGGGGCTGGGATCCTTTACGGGCTCACCCCTACAAAGTATCAAGGGAACCTTGGCGTGACGATGCCTCACAGAGACGTGGACAAAGGGCAAGCATTTGGGTTCGAATTTCTCGCAACTTTTGTCGTTGTGTTTTGTTATTTTTCTACATTGGAACTTAAGAGGGATGTATTGGTACCGAAGGCCCTCACATGCGGATTAGCAGTTTGTCTTTCACAGATATTTGCAGTAGGTATACAATTTCATGAGTATCCTTTTCTTGTGGTTTTTTTTTCAGTCTTTACTCTCTGTTAGTAAGAATCTTCTGTACATTAACAGAACTCCGTAATTGCATTGCACATTAGAATGGTGTTTTTCAGAAATTGAAAACTTCATAGATTATTTTAGATAAAAAAAACCGAACGATTTTAAAGTATTTCGTATTTCAGATTTTCGTCAAAACTTAAAAAAATGGTTACCTTAGTAAAATATTTGAAGCTTATACAATGACAGTTTTTTCGGTGATGGTTTCAGTTGGATGAAGGACCAAGAAAAATTCATTTCACTTTAACGTTATATCGAACGTCCATCAAATACTGAAATATAATTATGTTTAGCTGTTAAACAGGCCAAGTCATACTGTAGAACAAAATGTATAACACATCCACTTTATAATATCTAAAATCGATAAACGATAATAGTTAATTAGGTCTTTATGATTATAGAAATTGTATGTAAAAATAATCAGTTAATTTGTCGTTCGTCGTATTTTGTCGAAATAGCTTTGAAAAAAATAACACATCCGTCAAAAATACCTACATATATCTAAAGAGACATATCTTGGTGTACTCATAACATAGATACAGCAAACTGGCTGTTGTATACATCAAGATTAAGGATGAGCATTTGACTCAAAAAGTATTCATTTTTATATTTCATTTTGGAAATAATATGAGAAAGTCGAATTATTTTTCATCGACGTTTTTTTAAATCCCTTGTCGATTCGCCATATTTCAATAAACGAAGATAAGTACTAGGTGTGTGTTTACCAATGGAGAAATTAGCATTCGCAAGCACGCCGGATGTGGAATGCTTACTGAAAAAAATGTGACTTCATATATCTTCATAGAAAATAAGATGACAAATAAATAAAAATAAAAACCTCAATTATAGCTTGTCTCCTAATCATTAGGAATTGGTAATCAAATGTAGTACTCACAAAAAATATTTCATTGCTGTAAATTTGAAAGTCAGATACAGCATATCGTTATTTGTCCTTGTTTCTTCGTTCGATAAAATATTTGACATCTTTGATTTGTTGGAAATACTTAGCAATCTTTCCGATATGTAATGGGATTTTAAGATGATAAGGCTTGTGTACAAACTATATCGGTAGATTACATTTCTTTTTCTTCGACTCAAACGACACAATTTGGCGCCAAACTCCGGTACCTCGGATCAGTCATTCTGCTACAGATGCTGTGCTCTCTCGGATGGTAGATCTACATGTACCAATTCAATACACTTCTCTGTTAGTCTTAGAAATCAACTGTATTGTGATACCATTCTCATCCGCAGACGTGTGTAGGAAAAGGATATGTGGCATTAGCAGTATTTTGGTTTTACATTTGTTTTTCAATCTCGATACGGACGTTCGGACAGAATAGCAATCATGTACTTTATCCAAAGGACTAAATGGTTAAATATTCATTTCATAACTGTTAAAAAGCATTGTAACATTTTGTTGAAAAGTGTATATTTTCTGATATGATTTTTTTTGCATAACTGTTCTAATAACAGCGTCAAAAAATTAAATAAAATAGGAGCGATCCAACAATAATTTATATCATTATCGTTCGGAGAGTGTAAACAATGTCTTTACGCATGCAATTTTAGATTCAGGTTAATTTATTTTGCTCTGTCACGCGTATAAGAGTTAAAACATGGCTGGCAAATTAAGGTTTGGCTATTTACATAAGTATGGATAGTGAGAATTCATATCAAAATGTCGGGTTAAAACGAGATTCCGAAAGGTCACGTGATAAACTCGGCTATCCTCGATCAAAACAGTGATGGATGGTAGACACAACAGCGAGTGTCGACTAGCGTTAGTTTGAAACTGATAATCTTTATCAAGTTCTCTCAAAGAGTGTTATAATTTTGTGAAGAGTCTAATTTTAAGTATTATAATGCTGGGGTAGCAGTACACAGTTTCTCGGTGTGGCCATGGGTGATTTTTTTGCTCATTAGATTACCCCATTATAAAGGTTTTAATTAAAAATGAAAAAAAAAATCCTTGCTAAAATTGGTCCTGTCATGTTAAAGTGGACAATGTGGGGTTTCATTTTTTTCAGGATAATATTTTAGCTTTGTGTTGGAGATTACTATTTGGGCAGTCTCGAATCTGTGTCTACGCACCAAAAACTAGCTTTACAGGAAGTGAAATTTTCATAGTGTTTACATGTGGTCATGTTATGAAGAATTTCCGAGTTGGAATTTGCTGAAATGTAAGTACTTTGTTACCACGACAGTGTTGTTGATTGTAAGATAGGTGATTAGAATTAAATTTCTCCTAGAAAGTTGTAGTGTTGGATTGGAATTAGCAGTATTTTTGCATTTTTAGCATTTTTTCAGTAGGTAACCAATCAAATGTCAGAAATCAGAGGAATTTTTTTTTTACACAAATTTCATCTCTCTACGGTTAATGTAATTGTTATACAGTTTATAAATATATATACATGTAATGATGTATTTTTCATAACCAATCTGCTATACCAGTATTTTTGCTGCTATACCTGTATATCTCAAACATGACAAATAATTTCATTAACTGTTTACTGCTACCTGGTCCGAAATCAAACGCATGGTAATGCACCAATCCCAGATTGAACAATTGTTCTTCATAATAGACAATTTCCGTAGAGCTCAAAATCCACATTTTCCGAAAACATATAATTTGGTGGACATCTGAATTAACAGGCCCTTTAAATATCAATACAATAAGCATCCAAGCTTCATACAATATACTATTTCGTGGATAGATAAAATCGTGAATTAAAAATAAATCCTCCGCGAAAATAAAACTTGTTTAAATTTTTTTTTAAAAATCATAGCCAAATGGAGTATATGACGTTGTCATTTTTTTCAAATGTATTACGATTTTGTGTTGTATTGTTTTGAAGGATGGTTGCATCTAGTTCTGATAAGGCCTGATAGATAGGGAGCCGAGTTAATGACCCTTAAAAAACTGGCGAGAGAGAAGATAACACCATATTCCTATAATACTGCAGTCGTTTATCATAAACGCTACACCTACCCCGGGGAAACACATGAAATATAACGTTTTAGGAAATGAGACAATTTATGGTTAAAATCTGCATATATTTTGATTCATCATTATCACTTTTGAAATTTTAATGTTGATATTGATCGATTTCGCATCGCAACTGGCACACAATATCCCATTAGTGAAATACTGTTCAGTTTCAAATGTCACGATATATAAAACTCCAAATTGTATATTGAAAGCATTGCTCTCTAACTTTTCTTTTTATAGTACTTCCTGCATGGTGAAATCGATTTGAAACATTGACATTCAAAAACTTGAAACTAGAAAGAGATCTATGTTTCTTTTCTATGGTGTTTTTCATGCCCATGCAGATATTACATAGTTTATTCCACCTAAACCTGGCGTTTCTATAAATCTTAAGTAACAGCCTTTTTTTAATAAATGTCAGAGTAATCTCCCTTGTATGAGCGTACCCTAAACATCACTTTGATGCGAACGGTTTCCTATTCCACTTGTTTACATCAAGTCATAGCTACATTCGATCAAGCCAGAGTGTTTGTTTGTTTTTAATTAATTTAAAGACTGATTTATGTTCTAGTGGTTATGGAAATATTTTAGTACCGTATAAGCAATATACCATCTACTTTGATCACACTCGCGAGAATAGGGAAAACACTCTTCTGCAACTTGATCTGTAACTTTTGGTCTTTCCTGATTTCAAAATTTAATTGAAAACTAAAAACTACCAGATAATCGAGTTGTATTATTAAGGACATTGTTTCGTTCACACAGTCACTTATCCATTCGTAAAATTTTCAAGTGTCAGGTTAAGCGATATTATTTCTTCGATGAAATGCTGCTTTTTTCTATCTTCGAACCACTAAAAGATAAAGGCAACATGTGTAGGAAGGGAGGTAACTTTGTACATTCTTTGACTTTAATTCCCAAACTTAAGTCTTTGAAGAGCTTTACGTTTTTTGATCCGGAGAAATATTCTGATCACAGTAACACGGACCTTCTGAGGTGGAGATGCAGACATTCATTCCCATGCGTATGAATTCTGACAGGACTTATCCGAAATCGCATTACTCCTCGGTACATTTCTACTTTTTTACCTTTTTTGTACTGTAAAGCTGCCAAATGTGTCTGAAGTTGCTCGAATTTTTTAATGAAATCATTTTAATACAATAAAATTGTACACATCGAAACCAGCTCCGGGATTCGACGCCTGAGGGCTGTCTGTTTATAAAACCGGACGTATATAATATGTAGTCCCCCACAGACAGATATAAGAACTGTTCGGTAATAGCAAAGACTGTGATTTAGTGCTCTTCTGTCTGGTTATTCCACGCAATCCCACAATAAACAATAACCAATAAAAACAAACGCCTGTCTGACGCCATGGATCATTGATTTCATATTTGATGCCCCTACTCATATCTACATCTCCATATTTATACTGGTATCATATAATTGTGTATTGTTATAAATATTATATACCATGTGTATAGGCATTATTACGAGACATCTTAGAGTCTATGGTACTGTGTGTGAACCTTTACATTGAAAGAATGTGTAATGTTTTGTTTGCCTGCTTGTTCTATGAATATCTAAGGTAATTTCATTTTGGAGTGGGGTATCCTTGTAGTAGCTGGTGGCTACCTTACAGAACAATATATGGGAAACCCATTCAGTAGAATTTGAGTAAAGTTTCTTGCGCATGTACAACTTTGTTATGTGTAAAAATGAGGAAATATTTGTATGTACATTATTACAATACACAGGAACTATTAAGATGATGTAAGGTTAATGGGAAATATGCATAATGCATCATTCTTTATGAAGAGTCACGATTCCTATATACCACATAGATTTGTTTCTGCATCTGTGAAGGTCATATGAGGCGACACCACGGATCACCCAAGAGCCATTTGCAGTGTTATCATACTGAAATGCTTTCATATACTCGCATTTAGTATCGGACAGTTCGTTACAGTTTACTCAAAATGAGTTGACCAACCTTTAGGTGTCAGACATTTCAGCATTTCTGTTCTGTTTGTCTTTGTCAAAGGGACAGATCCTATCGCGTACCGTTTCCGTGAGGAAGAACAAAAAGGCGAGGCATTTAATGTGTTTGTTTAAATATCCTCAAGTAAATGACACGAAAAATAAATAAACTTTTACGACATGCATTTAATAAGAATCTGTACATCACACCCTTACTGTAATATTTATGTTTAAGAAAAAATGGTCCGTTATGTACATGTATGTGTTTACGTGTCCAGAATCGAAGATATTCAATCGTTTTCTGAAAAAAAACTTTACCCGAACTCAAAACCATCAATCAAAAGGACGAGAATATGATTGTATTGATTCGTTCAAAAGGAAATTCTATTCAATCCGTTTATCTATCGCTGCCTGCGTGTCTAAGTCATCTTAACCACCCATTCTGTGCGTGACAACGTCTAATTTTACACCCCTGAGACTCGAATGTCCTGGCTCTCTTCACTCGTAGGCGGTTTTCTACGCATGTCTTGTTCGTTACTTCCCGTTCCAGTTCATAAGGCGGAAATAACTTTCCAGATTTTAAGTTTTGTAATTCACTACTGAAAAAAACATGCTTATAGTTTAGTTACAAACTTATCCGGGAAACCTATTTCATATTAGCCTGAAAATAAACTTCCTCGATCGCATTGGATTGAGCGTTGCGTACAGAAATATAGCTGTCCAATCCAAAGAATTTACTGTGAAATCAATAAAAAAGGAAAATTTACAAAAGTCTACAGCTTTCGTTCGACCGTTTATTTATCGTATATTATGTACAATTACGGTTAACTATTCAACTTGTGACAATGTCGTTTTACAAAAATACCTTAAATTCATTATGAATGCGGGTCTCCAGTCTTACGTGACTTACGTCTGAATGTTGTGACGATCCCACGGGGAGACAACCTTCACAACTTTGTCGGTGTATATAACATCAAGGGAAATCAAACAAATATTGGAACCTCGACATGGGAAAGGGAATTGCTTTACGATCTGACTTGAGGTCAACAACATTCGCGAGCAACTGATTGGACGTCAATGTCGATTTAATAGGTATCAAGGACACAAATTTATGTCCCTGGGCGGATTTCCTTCTCATAAGTAATGATATTAGGCAAGTATATATTACGGAATGCTGTTTATACAGAAACTGAAACATGAGACAGATGGTACCTCCTCTACTTTCGCTTTTTCTCCTAACACTCTTATTCCATAGGTCATTATTGTTTATTTTATCTGAATTAAACAGAAGGAGTAGCAAATATATTGCGAAGACATAAACTTTTTTTTATTTTCTTTATTCAACATTTTAACTAACCGTCTTTCAATAACCCTAGTTCTTGATCTTACTTGGTATTTGACATTTATGAAAAACGTTTATGTTGTATAATCTTGACCTCTGATGCTTAACAATATATACCTTTATTTTTTCTGTTTATCATATAACTGTCTCAAAGATAAACAATATTGACATGAGACGCAAAACAATCCTGCTTTCATCGACTTTTCTCTTTTACCGGAAATGTCCGAAGATATCCGATCAGCAACATTCGATTTTTCTCTGCATTGGTTGGAAAAGCCTGGAGATATTTGATTAAAATCTACACAGAACGGAAAAAAATCATACAAGTTGTTTGAAGCTGTTTGTCAAATAAAATTCATTTACTTATTCTCTGCGACTTCTGACACATGTAGACATATCGACCGAATTCCTATCAGCAATTTGTGTGATAGCTACTGCCAAAGCCAACACTTCTCTAACCAATCCCAAAGTATAAACTTCCGTTGATGGTGTCGGGATACAAAGATGTGTAGTTTCACATCATAACTTATCTTTATATACACATACAAAACCAAATCCATCAACTAGACAAACAGACTGGTGTTATAGTGTCATATACTTCCGTACACTTTGTGGAAACCGATTACAAATATCATTAACAGCCAGACTAAAAGGTTCCCTACATTAGTGCTGTCCAGTAAACAAGGGTTGGCGGTCTACTGACTAAGGTGGGCTGACAACATACAGGCAGATACAGTCGAACAGCGTTATTTCGAAGTCGTGGGGGAGAAGGTACTTCGACTTACCCGAGTATTCGATTTAAGGAGGTTTAAATGTTAAGTTTGAATTTTGGACGAGACCGACGAAATGTTTTGTATTGAATGGGTTTTTTTCGAGTTATAAATACCAACACTTGTCTGGATTTTTATTCTTTTTATGCTTTTGGTGGATACGTCTTAACATTAACGGAGATGAAAAAAAAATTCTATACATTATATGCTTCTGCTTGAAACGAATATTCGTATTGGCTAATTTCTTAATGCGACATCGCAATGGAGCATGATCTAACCTGATATCCCGATAAAAAAAGATATGCCACAGTATTGTATGGGGAAAGGCGATAACAATTTGCTGAGAATAGAAAATTATTGATCATTGAACCAAGATCGGAAATTTTTGGTGACGTTTTAAAGGGTAAAATAGAGAGAAGAAAAAAGTGTCTGTGAATGCCTTTAGCATCTTATACTGGTATGGAATGCCGTCAAACAAATGCAGTCGCTTGCTCCGCTAGAAATTAGATTTGACTATTTGGGCTACCTCAACGAACAACATACGGGAAACCCATCGTATACCATTTAAGGAAATTTTGGATCAAATGTCTTGCCAAAGGACAACAACTTCAGCACAGACTGGTCCGTTTCTCACCTTACTGACAAACACAAACCGCCGCGGAGCGTCGAACCACACAGATCTCCACCGAAGCCTACTTAGAACTTTTAAATGAATAAGTGTATTTTTCATAAATGCTCAAATTAATAATTGACTGATGGAATATTAACTGAATGTATGCGTCAGTGAGAGGGAACTATCGTTTTACAATATCTAATATTTATCGTTTGTGTAATAAAAAACGAAAATTAAATAGATATATAAAATACGTTTTGATTACACCATTGGCAGACTTACATGATATGTATTTTGTATCAATAACAAATGTTAACGAAATCAAATATGAAGTGCGCGTGGGAACACTTATGAAAACAAAATAAAACAAGTAGTTATTAAAAGTGAGAGCTTTCTACCTGATGTGTAGTTTAATCACTGTTAGCTCTTCCTCACATTAACCGTACATAAAAGTTATCAATTAGAGAGAAATATCCGTTATCACGGCCTCCTAACTGTGATCGATACATTTAATACCGAAATTATCGGTCCAGGAATATTGCTTCTGTAAAGGGTACATACCTGTACATGTCCCTGTGTAGGATATGCACATTCCGACCAGGTATAGCAAATTCCTTTAGCCGGAGCCGATCAATAGGCTTAATTACATGATACACGAAAAACTAATTTACTCTTGTGTGTTTGAGGCACACTGAATTAAATATTTATTTCATTCAAGTTATCTTTTGCTATGACGATAAAAGTACATGCAGAGAAACTGTTTAGTGAGATAAAACTCGAAGCGCCTGTTTCATTGGTAATGCGAAGGATGTGTGAGGTGCGCATGCTCAGCGTACGTCATTCTATAAACCAGCACTTGATAATGACGGTTTAATCATTTTCGTTGAAAACGAAATTACAGAAACTCTTTGCATCCTTTTTTTAGAGTTTCAATTTCCAATATCTGTCTACATTTAGTTAAACGTTTCCAATATTTTTGTATTCGATATTTTTAAAGACTTTTAATGTTTCCAAGATCTTCTGATATAGGATCAATGTTTCCTATTCTTCAACGTTTAGATGATTTCTCAAGTGGGCTTAAATGTTATTGATCGCAAAATTTGCAGTCATTTCTGTCGTACGTATGCAATAACCTTTTGAAAAGTGTAAAATGTATTGGGAAAATATTTTGCAATAAGAATGGAAGTGCTTTTAAAATTAAATTTCAATTGTAACAGTACTCTGTACTCTAATACACATTATACGTGTAAGTAATACTTGTTCTTGGTTATTTCCTGTTTTCGCAACAAAGACTGTTTCAGCGTTTGTAACAGACGTGAAGTGTAATTATAACAAGTTCTTCTAGGTAGTACACCACAATTTGATTTCCACTTCTGACACCAACATGCGAACAAAGCGTGTCTCGTGTTAGGTTTTGACACGTTTACAACTGAAACCCAAAGCACTTAAGTCGATATCTGTGAATACTTGTATTGATGTAAAAATGGCCGATTGCTGTGGTTCTGTTTTCTAAAGTCAGACCTATAAAACTTTACATACAAACATAATCTATTTATATTTGAACATCTTTGAACCGAGTCTGTTCAACACATCTTCAAAAATATCGAATTATCGTTCAATATGTGGATACTGACTTTATCGATGAACAGCGAGAAAAAACATTATTGATTTTTTTTCCGAGCGGAGCGCTCTGCCACTTTTAAACCACATACAAGCTTTAAGATTCGCTTTTATCTGTGAAATTCTATACTTAGAAATATCAGCGGGTACAGTTTCTACTATAGCTTACTTGAAGCTGATATCTACGATCTTGATTGTGCCGTTTTTATTCAAGGTTTTGGTGTCGAATCTACGTGTTGAACATTTTTTTTGCGAAAAAGGCATTATTATGATTGCATTTGTATATGTTTCTTTTAAACTAAGTCTTTGCTGCTACAGTAAATGGGCGAGAATTTGAAAATCAACGTAGTTTGTAGATTACGTTTATCAAATGGTTATAAGGAACAACCCATAGGAACAAATACTGGGTGTTCAAGTGTTATAAGAAACTAGCGTTAAGTTTTTCACTTTTGGTTTAAAATTTCAGAATGAATTTTTCTTCCTATTTAAATTTTGTTCTATTTTTATTTTCAATGTTTTAATCGTTATGTGTTGTTATCTTTGATGTGCCGTTGTAAATTTGTTCAATAGTTTGACTTTCTGACATGGTTTTCTTTTCACAGATCAGATACACCGGAGCTAGCATTAATCCCGCCCGGTCCCTAGGTCCTGCCCTCATTATGAACATATGGACAGACCACTGGGTAGGTATCAGGTCTCCTTCTTACTGAAACATATAACATACTGTGTAAAATGTAATCTTTCCACGAACTTTGCTTTGTGACTGAATGTTCACAAATGACTCTATCATTTATGATACAATTTTCGGTACATCTTTTCTTTATATTCAAATTGTTGATAGTATATATGATTTTAAATGTGAATATCTGCCTCCTTAAACACAGTTGATTCAGCTATTTGTATTTCATTAACACAATTGATGTGCAATATTAACAAAGGAGAGTAAGCGATAAGGTCACAGTAACTGGGGAAAAGGTCACATCCATGAGTCAAATATGAAAATATTGTCACCGGACAGCAGAATTTACAAAAAGTCCTTGGGAGATGGTAAGAAACTAGGAAAATTCAAAACCACAGTTCGGATTTAGAATATGCCTTTCTTCCCGTAGAAAACCGTTTCTTTGCCGTCATCCTCTTCCTTCGCTCTCTTACTTCTCCTTTCCTTTCTCACTCCTTATTCCCTTTCTTAATCCCCCTCCTTCCATTTCTCACTCCTCTCCTCACTTTTCCATCTTTCCCTTTCTCACTTCTCCCTTCTCCACATTCCCTTTCTCACTCCTCTCCTCACTTCTCCTCCTTCCCTTTCTCACTTCTCCACCTTTCCCTTTTTCACTTCTCCACCTCCCCTTTCTCACTCCTCTCCTCACTTCTCCACCTTTCCCTTTCTCACTTCTCCACCTTTCCCTTTCTCACTTCTCCACCTTTCCCTTTCTCACGTCTCCTCCTTCCCTTTCTCACTTCTCCTCTTTCCATTTCTCACTTCTCCTCCTTCCCTTTCTCACTTCTCCTCCTTCCCTTTCTCACTTCTCCTCCTTCCCTTTCTCACTTCTCCACCTTCCCCTTTCTCACTTCACCTCCTTCCCTTTATCACTTCTCCACCTGTCCCTTTCTCACTTCTCCACCTTTCCCTTTCTCACTTCTCCACCTGTCCCTTTCTCACTTCTCCACCTTTCCCTTTCTCACTTCTCCACCTTTCCCTTTCTCACTTCTCCACCTTTCCCTTTCTCACTTCTCCACCTTTCCCTTTCTCACTTCTCCACCTTTCCCTTTCTCACTTCTCCTCCTTCCCTTTCTCACTCCTCTCCTCACTTCTCCTCCTTCCCTTTCTCACTCCTCTCCTCACTTCTCCTCCTTCCCTTTCTCACTCCTCTCCTCACTTCTCCTCCTTCTCACTTCTCCTCCTTCCCTTTCTCCTTCCCTTTCTCACCTTCCCTTTCTCACTCCTCTCCTCACTTCTCCTCCTTCCCTTTCTCACCCCTCTCCTCACTTCTCCACCTTTCCCTTTCTCACTTCTCCTCTTTCCATTTCTCACTTCTCCTCCTTCCCTTTCTCACGTCTCCTCCTTCCCTTTCTCACTTCTCCTTCCCTTTCTCACTTCTCCTCCTTCCCTTTCTCACTTCTCCACCTTCCCCTTTCTCACTTCTCCTCCTTCCCTTTCTCACTTCTCCACCTTTCCCTTTCTCACTTCTCCACCTTTCTCTTCTCTTCTCCTTCCCTCCCTTCTCACTTCTCCACCTTCCCTTTCTCACTTCTCCTCCTTCCCTTTCTCACTTCTCCACCTTTCCCTTTCTCACTTCTCCACCTTTCCCTTTCTCACTTCTCCACCTTTCCCTTTCCCACTTCTCCACCTTTCTCTTTCTCACTTCTCCTCCTTCCCTTTCTCACTTCTCCTTCTTCCCTTTCTCACTTCTCCACCTTCCCTTTCTCACTTCTCCTCCCTCCCTTTCTCACTTCTCCACCTTTCCCTTTCTCCTTCCCTTTCTCTTCTCTTTCTCCTTCCCTTTCTCACTTCTCCTCCTTCCCTTTCTCACTTCTCCCCCTTCCCTTTCTCACTTCTCCACTTTCCCTTTCTCATTCCTCCACCTTTCCCTTTCCCACTTCTCCACCTTTCCCTTTCCACCTTTCCCTTTCTCACTTCTCCACCTTTCCCTTTCTCCACCTGTCCCTTTCTCACTTCTCTTTCCCTTTCCCTTCTTTTCCCTTTCTCACTTCTCCACCTTTCTCACTTCTCCTCCTTCCCTTTTCACGTCTCCTCCTTCCCTTTCTCACTTCTCCTCCTTCCCTTTCTCACTTCTCCTCCTTCCCTTTCTCACTTCTCCACCTTCCCCTTTCTCACTTCTCCTCCTTCCCTTTCTCACTTCTCCACCTTTCCCTTTCTCACTTCTCCACCTGTCCTTTTCTCACTCCTCTTTCCCTTTCTCACTTCTCCTCCTTCCCTTTCTCACTTCTCCTCCTTCCCTTTCTCACTTCTCCACCTGTCCCTTTCTCACTCCTTTTTCCCTTTCTCACTTCTCCACCTTTCCCTTTCTCACTTCTCCTCCTTCCCTTTCTCACTTCTCCTCCTTCCCTTTCTTACTTCTCCACCTGTCCCTTTCTCACTCCTCTTTCCCTTTCTCACTTCTCCACCTTTCCCTTTCTCACTTCTCCACCTTTCTCACTTCTCCTCCTTCCCTTTTCACTTCTCCTCCTTGCCTTTCTCACTTCTCCACCTTTCCCACTTCTACTTCTTCCCTTTCTCACTTCTCCACCTTTCAAACTTCTCCTCCTTCCCTTTCTCACTCGTCCTCCTTTCCTCTCTGACTCCTTCTTCTTCATTATATCACACCTCCTCCTTCTGCTTAACTTTCTTACTCACGCTCCTAATGCAATTATTCATTTTCTGGTACCGTGTACCACGCATGCATTAGATATCTGTTATCCTATAATGGGAAACTGATTACTTTCGTTTACACCTTGTGATCACAAGTTGGAAATCCTATAATTGTATCAACCCCATTAATCTGTGATTCATTATATGTTTTCTTTACTTAAAAAATTGGTCACACACAAAAACACATAAACACACACAAAATACGTGTTACGTCCATTTTTCCTGTTTAAAAGCCTGGCTACTTCTTTCTTTTGGTAATTTAAAGAGCATCTCTTTTACTTAAATACCAATTCATATCGATTTCTGGAAATCCAATTTTGTAATTAAACTTTAAGTAGCAATGATGTTGCTATTATGGAAACAGTGAGTCAGGAATGAAAGTGGAAAATACATCTAAAAGGAGTAAATCTTGTATTTACAGAGAGAAATGTTTACAATCACAAGTTAGCAATACTTTTTACATAAAATTTGCCTATATGGATGTTTACAGGAAACATTAGAGTAAGATACTCACGGCAAATAAACAATGGCAAATTCATCAAATAGGGGAATTCGCCTCATCAAGTTGACACTTAAATCGTCCGTAGATTTTTAATCCTGTTAATTAGTTGTGCTTTCATTCAGATCTTGTATACCGTACTTACTTAGTAATATACGTTTTTGTTCTGTAATGTCATATTTTTTTTATTCTTTAGTCAAACAGAAAACACGCCATAATGACGTCATCATCTTTGTTATGATGTTCGTCATTTCATGTCGTATATCTCATATTTCTCTAAAGATAAAGTACATATGTGGACAAATTCGGAAAAAGTGCTAGATTTACAATTATTTTATACACAATACTCCATACCAAATCATACGATATTATCATTATTTCAGTGTGTTTTGTCTCCATGACGGCAGTTGTACTTTCTTGTCTTTTATGATGATTTACTTACTGATTGTATTTTTGATAATAAACTCAAAACAGTCATTTTAACCCATCTCCCCTGGCCGACAGATCACTTTTAAACATGATGTTTGTGTTCATGCCTAAACAATTCTGACGTTCCCTGTGTATACAAACTATTGCCACACTGCAGTATTCAAAGATTATCTCTTCTGAAAGCAAACTGCACTTGTTTAACCTATCCATATATTTTTATTGATAACTAACACGTAAATAAATCACAGTTATTAACCTCCGTAGAGGTTGATTTATATTGTATTATAACTACCGACACTGATACATCTCTGTCCTAGGAACGACACAGCGCCACTTCATCTCTCAGTCTATTGGCGTTAGGTAACATTCAAATGCTATAGTTTAGTATCCGCCACACAGATAAATCAAAATTAATATCGGTTGTTTTTTGTCTTGTTCTTAAAAATATAGTGTTGAAAAATATTACACTGTCTCTTTTCAGTATTTATGTTTGCTTTGATAATGCATCGGGATGTAAAGTCAAAATGACAAACGTAGATTGTGATATTGAGTAAAGACACCACCAGCAGATAAATCATCCAAAAATTTTACACTTAGCCATCTCGGCCCTCAAACAAATCCAGATTAATTATATATATGTGTGTGTTTTGACATTAGATAAACTTTGTGACGTCATAACTGGTTAAAAAGCAATTAAACTCCATAAATAAAGCGCTTCTATCGGTTGATTACAATGGTGTGTACTTTTGTAATGAATAATTTTTAAACAGTTTGGAAAGTGACTCACGGAAGATATGCGATCATATTGCAACAGAAAAAAACGGAGACGAGATGAAGATTAGTTTTCTGTGTACATAGATGAAACATGTCGTATCGCGTCTTCGAAATTATTGTTATACTTAATTTAAATATTGAAACAGAGTGTAGAAGAGGAATAAATCTTTGTTTTTTCCCCTTATTCTTCATTGCAGGTTTACTGGGTTGGTCCAATACTTGGTGGGATACTCGGTGGATTTACTTTCGAATACACCAAAGATTCGTCTAAACAATTCCAGAACTTTAAGTTTTCGTTGCGACAAAAGGTTTACAGTTTACAGCGAAAGGAAGAATGTGCAAGTACCAACTCCCTAGCAACGGAACTAGCGTGTGACCATGACACGGCAACGGAAGAACTTCAGATATGACGTCATAAAGTCGAAGGATACTAAATATATGTGTAATTGATGAATTAAATTTTGGACCTTGATTCACTGAATTTGAAATACAAGAAACAACGAAAAGATAACGCTGGATTCCATCGTTATAGACCAGTGATATAATTCTAGAGCATTTGCAGTACTATGATATGTAGTGATTGTCCAATTTTTATGCGTCTTTCATTCTGCAATGTTGACATGTTTAAAATCAAAACGCTATGAATAATACTATTTTTCGAAGTAAAATGTAATATAGGCCATATTTGAATACAGTGAATATTTATCTATCTCGAAGTTTTTGACCTGAGCTCATTTAACCTCTATTCGTTTCGTAGTTAATTGGTCTTCGATATCTAATTAACGAAAATATCGTGCATAAAGATAGTGACCTATGGTTTACCATTTTCTATCTTGTCAGTGTGACGCTTTGCATTCTGCTTCCATTAACACAGTGAGTACAATGGAATCAAGCGTTTAAGTGAGTAAGATTGCTCGTCATGTTAACATGTTGGTACACTCAAATTCGCCAAGCTGTTGCTGATTCCGGTACCCTTCATCGATGTTGATTTTCAGGCTGTTTTTACGTAAACCGAGTAAAACGGTTCATGCGCCACGGATTTATTCCACGAACTGATTCTAAGAAGAGTCGGCTTAATTTGACGATTGATAACTTCATCTTGTAATGTGAAATACAAATCGAACAACACTACTTTATGGAATAGACGTACAAGTTGTGATAATTGATACCGGACAGCATGTTATGTCATAAAGAAAAACAGCTATGTTCCATAAACTTCCAAAATTTTCATCTAACACAACACCTCATCATGTACAAGGGAAAACAACAAGGAATGATATGCTATCTTTTAAGAACAAATGAAACCCATTTTTAAAAGTTTCTCCAGGGATATTCTGCTTTTAGGTGAATTGATATATCTACTGTGTCACAGCAATAATACCAGTAAGTGGACGTATTGTTTACATATTACGGGACGTGTACAAACAACAAGCACGTGACGTGTTGTTTTATCTGTATCACAGACATCGCTTGTTGATTGTTATTTCAAACAATAAAATTCAGAATTTGTCCTTCAGTTTCGGAGAAAATTTATATCTAAAATAGAAAAAAAATAGTTAAAATAATATGATAGTACAGCGAACAATTCCATCCTCACACTAAACAGTAATTTATCTAAAGATTTATTTGAAATTTTGTTTTAACTTTTGGTATCCTACAAAATCTGACAGTTCTCTATATAAACTGTATTTTCCTCATTATGAAAATACCGATATATCTATTTCGTTAAGTTGCTGAAAGTGATAAAGTCTTAAAAATGCAAGGGGTTCAAAAAAGAAGAAAAGTAAAAATATCCAAAATTATGTTAGATTTCTTCAAATCTTCAAATAAAATGATAGCAATAATGCTTTCGAAGCATGAATGATTGTAAATGCCTTCCGACCTTTTTCTTTCTTTTCTTTTACATTTGTATAATGTACAAACATTTCCGATTTCGTCTCACCGTCTCTTATAATGTCGTTAAGTTAAAAACCCTAATATTCCTTGAGGAAAGAAATTCCCCATTAGCGTTCTGCCTTCATACAACATAATCTGACATTTACCCTGGATAATGGCATTTTAGGTCTTCGTATGAAAAGTGATTGTATAATACAATACAATTCAGCTAAGGGAGACAGAAAATTATCCGGCGGTATTTCTGAACCACTTATAATGCGTGTGTAAGATTTCCATACAATGACAACCCCTTAACAGAAACAAATCTATTTTACGCTAGATAGCGACGGCCTATTTGTTCTGCAAATTGCTCGAGAAAGAGGTGATAGAAAAATAGCCCTAGAAGGCCTGAAACTCATTTTTCTGATAGAAAATTCCGATATCATTAGAGTTTTTTTTCGGTACGCGAATTAATTGTTCACTTCGGAACACCCTCAGGACACATAAATGGGAGAAGAGATAGCAAATCTTTCATATTTGGAACATGATTTTGTAGAACTGCAGAAAATGCCGTTAATTATGTCGAAGCGCCTTCCTCTGTAGAGCTAATGAACGTTGTTCTGACGATATATACCTATATATAAAACCCTATAAGTAAATGGCGGCTTCCTTGGCTACAATAAATAAGACATTTTGGTATCCTTCGGGATACTGCTGGAGAAATTTTTCTTCACAATCTACATAAAATTTCCACGATGCTTGACACTTATTAACAGAAAACGGAACAAGGTTTGACACATTTACAAACACAAATAAAATTTCGATATGCCTAAGAAATTATCTATACTTGCGAACATATCGGATCTTCCTTTTTTAATTTTTTATTCTGCTATTTCTTGCCTTGTATTTGGTTTAAAAGTTCTGAATATTACCGCAAACCTTTCCCTGAATGACATCGTGAGCTTTATCATGGATACGATTTGCTCATATCTTTTCGAGACACAAAGTGCAAACCTTACATTTTTCTGCTGACCTTTTGACTTGTATTTTCAACATACAAATGTATCTTTATTTGTTCTACAGTAAAAAGAAAATCTCATTCCCAAACAGCATTATTTAACAAGTTGAATTGTTCACTCAATCAACCTTTTCTCATTGTATGATAGGACGTTATCATTAAAAATTTTCGACAGAACGAAAAGGATTGTGGTTACTAGGGAAACCAAAACACTGCCAAACTCATGGAAACATATGTTATTATATTTTATGCTAATTCTATTACAGTTGTATTTGGAGTTTTCCATAAAAATCATTATAAGCATGTCTTCAGGATTTTCGATGCCGAAAAATTCAGAGGTGTTCCGATTGAGATCCGATTCAAGTCGATTGATGGGGTATACCCTATCTACACAATGATTTTTATTAAGATACTTGGCGGGAATTTAGACTTAGACTCTCGACGTAATAACAGATGTTTCGCTCTTATCATATTTTCAACTCCCATTGAAAATCATCTGTGCACAAAATTGATCTTACTGGCATCGTTTCATTATGCACGCTTGTCGTATCACAAGGATTCGTGTAGTGTTATCTCCTAGTATGAAATATTTCCCGGGAAAAGACACCATTACTACTCGTGTTAATAGCCTATCAACACAAAATCTTCATGATCAATTCAATCAATGTGTTTCCTTTGTGTTATACGACGGAAAACAACCCATACAACCACAGACATTATCAAAAGTCCGTTAGAATAGTCTTAATTAACCGTTCAAACAAAACCTTAACGACCCATTAAATGTATCTTCTCAAAGCGTCACTCGGTAGTCTTCTCCAATCCAATGTTCGCATAGGGTCACTCGGTAGTCATAACCAATCCAATGTTCGCATAGGGTCACTCGGTAGTCATAACCAATCCAATGTTCGCATAGGGTCACTCGGTAGTCATAACCAATCAAATGTTTGTATAGGGTCACTCGGTAGTCATAACCAATCAAATGTTTGTATAGGGTCACTCGGTAGTCATAACCAATCCAATGTTCGCATAGGGTCACTCGGTAGTCATAACCAATCAAATGTTTGTATAGGGTCACTCGGTAGTCATAACCAATCCAATGTTCGTATAGGGTCACTCGGTAGTCATAACCAATCAAATGTTTGTATAGGGTCACTCGGTAGTCATCTCCAATCAAATGTTCGAATAGGGTCACTCGGTAGTCATAACCAATCAAATGTTCGCATAGGGTCACTCGGTAGTCATAACCAATCAAATGTTCGCATAGGGTCACTCGGTAGTCATAACCAATCAAATGTTCGCATAGGGTCACTCGGTAGTCATAACCAATCAAATGTTCGCATAGGGTCACTCGGTAGTCATAACCAATCAAATGTTCGCATAGCGTCACTCGGTAGTCTTCTCCAGTCAAATGTTCGCATAGGGTCACTCGGTAGTCATAACCAATCAAATGTTCGCATAGGGTCACTCGGTAGTCATAACCAATCAAATGTTCGCATAGGGTCACTCGGTAGTCATAACCAATCCAATGTTCGCATAGGGTCACTCGGTAGTCATAACCAATCCAATGTTCGCATAGGGTCACTCGGTAGTCATAACCAATCAAATGTTCGTATAGGGTCACTCGGTAGTCATAACCAATCAAATGTTTGTATAGGGTCACTCGGTAGTCTTCTCCAATCAAATGTTCGCATAGGGTCACTCGGTAGTCATAACCAATCAAATGTTCGCATAGGGTCACTCGGTAGTCATAACCAATCAAATGTTCGCATAGGGTCACTCGGTAGTCATAACCAATCAAATGTTCGCATAGGGTCACTCGGTAGTCATAACCAATCAAATGTTCGCATAGGGTCACTCGGTAGTCATAACCAATCAAATGTTCGCATAGGGTCACTCGGTAGTCTTCTCCAATCAAATGTTCGCATAGGGTCACTCGGTAGTCTTCTCCAGTCAAATGTTCGCATAGGGTCACTCGGTAGTCATAACCAATCAAATGTTCGCATAGGGTCACTCGGTAGTCATAACCAATCAAATGTTCGCATAGGGTCACTCGGTATCAAATGTTCGCATAGGGTCACTCGGTAGTCATAACCAATCAAATGTTCGCATAGGGTCACTCGGTAGTCATAACCAATCAAATGTTCGCATAGGGTCACTCGGTAGTCATAACCAATCAAATGTTTGTATAGGGTCACTCGGTAGTCATAACCAATCAAATGTTCGCATAGGGTCACTCGGTAGTCATAACCAATCAAATGTTTGTATAGGGTCACTCGGTAGTCATAACCAATCAAATGTTTGTATAGGGTCACTCGGTAGTCATAACCAATCAAATGTTCGCATAGGGTCACTCGGTAGTCATAACCAATCCAATGTTCGCATAGGGTCACTCGGTAGTCATAACCAATCAAATGTTTGTATAGGGTCACTCGGTAGTCATAACCAATCCAATCGGTAGTCTTCTCCAATCAAATGTTCGTATAGCGTCACTCGGTAGTCTTCTCCAATCAAATGTTC